CCAGCTGCACCTCCAGGCCTCTGCGAGACACCCGGTACTGTCCCCGTTGGTCTCAGCTCAAACAAGGCTGGACTCCAGCAGCCAACTGTGCCAAGCTCAGTGTGGGCAACTGGTGTTCAAAAGAGAAGAGCTGTGTACCCAGCTCTCTTGCAAAAGGGCTCATTTCAAGACTGCCAGAGGAGGAAGTGGGCCAGGGGGAGCTGATACAGTGCATGCAAACACAGGAGGAGCGAGAGACACAGAGCTACCAGGAGGAGGCATTGAACGGCTTTGGTGGAAGGTCACCGAGCCAGTCAAAAGCTCCAGCCTGAGGGACCAACATCATCCAATCCTATTTCCCTGTGCAATCCCTTCTGCACACCAGCACAGGAGTCATTTCAGCCCCCATCTAGACCATACTGATGTATGTGGGCTCTGAGCTTTTAGAGACAGAAGAAAGCTCACCAGAGCCACAGGGCTATGTCCCCCAAGTGGTTCTCTAGCTACTAGAGTGATAATCTGAGTTCAACACTGGAAGGACTTTCCAGCAGTGCCTGGTATGAGCAGCAGCTCTGGAGGGTTCACAGAGCCCAAATGGGGCAACAGGGGAAAAACAAAGCCAAACAAACAAGAATGCACTTGTGAAACCACGTACATGGTTGAAAGTTCCAGTGCATGGACTCAGCACAGAGGGACAAAAGCCACCAAAGGAGAAAGGGGCTATTTCATCACTGTGGCAGAACCTCCATTTCACTGGTCCCTCTCCTTCTAGCACCATTCTTCCCCTACCTCCACCCTTGTGTTGTGCCTAGGCAAAGAGCAACCACACAAGGAGACAAAACAGCCTCTTTCTGATGGGTTTAATCCTTTGCAGGCAAGTAGAGTGTACATGGACACACGGGTGCATCAGGAAAGCAGGAGGACTCCTGACTCCTGTACAGTCCTGTCAACATGGATGCTGTAATCTCCACCCTGAGCAGACACCAGGATGGAACAGGAGACTGGGCTGTGAAGGACATGGTGGTACAGCCAACACTCACCAACAGCCCTAACTGCAGGTAACTCTAACAGTGCTGTTCTCACTACAAAATATCACCCACAACAGTTACAAGAAATTTGGAAAGTTAACCTTTGGCTTTTAGAGTAGCAACAGTTTCCTCGGGAACACTGTTACCCCAGACCAGAGGATTGACTTTCAAGCCACACTGGGAGACACTCTGGAGCTGCATTAGCAGAAAACCAAAATGAAAAGCTCGTCAAAGGGACAGCACAGACTGACCTCAGCAGTCCACCAAAAATCTGAATCTGTGTTGTTAGATATGGAAGAGCAGAGCTGTGCTTTGGATACCTGCATTGGATGTAGACCATACATGACTCACTGGAAACAAGTATGTCTTAAACTTCCTTCGTACGTGCTGAGGAATGTCAGACCTCATCCTGGGAGTCAAACCTTAGCATCAAATTTAAGCAAGACACGACAGCACGTACAGGACATGTTCACACAGTCCCCCTTCCTGGCATGTCCCGCCCCGAAGCAGGCAGGAAGCATGTCCACAGCTGTCCTGATGCCAGTCAGATCAAAAAGCCCACAGGAGCCTCCAACACCAGTCAGGCACTGTGGGAGCAGAGCTGCTGGCTAACTCCAGGCCCTCCTACCCATGAGGGGTAGGAAGGTCAGTACAGTGCAGAGTACCCCCACTTCAGCCCCAGGATTCTTTTTTTTCCCTGAATCTTTGCTCTCTGAACAGGTTGAAAAGGTAGGGAGTTGCCCTCCACCTCACTTCTCAAGATAAAAGCTTTTTGACAGGAGGTGTCTGTGTGGTAAACCAGGCTCCTGCCCCACTGCTTTGCCTACACCATCCTATACAGTGCATGCTGATGTCCTGCTGCAGCGGAGTGAGAAGCAACCTGCTTGTTTTGCCTTTTAAAAAAGAGCTGCAGAGTTTTCCCAGGAAAAGTAACATTAAGAGTATCATATCTGTAAAGAAAAGCACTTGACCCAGGAAATGGTAATGTCATTGTTATCTGCACGTTCTTAATTCTCCTCCTTTGCTGACACACATTATGACCACAACTAGCAACATACCATTTTCCTGTAGGATTGGGCCTGGTCCTGCACTTGGGGTAGCAAAACTGAAAGGACATGCTGGGTACTGGCCAGGGAAATGGGGCACCTTGCTTTATGCAAGCCCAAAAGGCCTGGGGCACTGTGGTACCAATCAGAGTCATCAGCTCCCTGACCTTGTCCAATGCTAAAGTCTTCATGGGGCACTCGCAAACAACGTGAGTGGCTGTTGGAAAAGGAAGATCCATTATCTACCCCTTCATGCAGCACTAAACCAGGACCTGTGCTCTAGTCTCAGCTTTGTTTAGGCTGAGGGACTTGCCCAAAGTCACACAGGAAATCTCTGTGGCTCAGTTCTGCATCAGACAAAGGGTGATAAAATTTCCTGACCTCTGTGGAGGAGGGTACAAGATGTTCAGGTAGCACAACACCAAAGTAGGGGAAGAAAAGGCAGAGGCAGAAGTACTTGCTCCGTGCTAGCTTGAGCTCAGTAAGGACAAGATGCTTCAAAGAGCAAGGCTGGGAAGAGACATCAGTCACTTCCCATGAGGCAGAGATATTAAAACAGAGACTCTTGCTAAAATTCACTCTAACACATAACATAAACTGTCCTCTCAAAAAAACTTAAAGAGAAAGAAGCAACTGTGCTAAACAGCCACATCCATTGCCCAGCAGCAGTATTCCCCTTTGTCCCATCCCTGCAGCCATACAAAATCCTGAACATTTTTGGTTGCATTTCCCACCTCACAGGATCCGAATCCCTCCTGAATTTGGAGGAACAGAGACACTCAACCTCTTTGCTAAGGCTCCACTGTAGATACATGCAATTACATTTGCAATTAAGTTTGAGTCTAGTTACAGGAAACCAGAGGCACTTTCCACAGATCAGAGTGATGTTATTGCCACACTTCACAGGTTTTCATAACATACACAACGTGGTATTCTGAAACTCACTTTTCACTGACCCACTTTCCACCAAGAAGAAAGTTCATCTTTATTTATCTGGACCTTCTGCTTTTCCTTGCTCGCTCCCAGGAATGCTGTCTGCATGTTAATGTAAGTGGGGAGAGCCAGGGGAACCAGTGGCAACACCATCCGCTTCAAATCTGGGACAAACCAGTCTCCTGCTTGCAGGGCATTAAGGCAACACATTCAGGCCCCAAGGAGAAGGAGCACCCAGCCACCCTCAGATGACTCTTGCCAGCTGACTCACTGTCCAGAGCTGACAGGCTCCCTAGACATGACAGAGTTCGGCTGCCACAGGGAGAGGAGCATTGCTCCAGGGGAGGCTCTCTGGGCTGGGAAGAAGCAAGGAGCAAGGTTTCTGACCACTTTCTCTGCAATCTCTTCTCAGCCCCCTTTCTGTGTTGGACAAGACCTGGGATCTCAATAAACCACAGCAGTCCTGAAGAGGCCATCAAAGGCTCCAGAGCAGCGTGCACGAGTGCACAGTTTCCCCAGTCCAGCCACAAGCCATCTTGCCATGAACGCCAGCTCTGCACTGGCCACCTGTGCCTAGTGTCTCATTGCAGAAACTCCTGCCTGCACCTACTTAAAAAAGACAAAAGTTCAAACCACATAAAGCATCTAAAGGAGGGGGAGGCCCAAATAGCATGCCAGAGGAACTTGGCTTGGTGAGGACACGTGAGCCTCCTCACTCTGCCCTGACGTCAGGCTCAGCCACACAGTCTCTCCCAAACAGCTCACCTGGCCACCACCTTGCCCACAGCCAAAGGCAGGGTGTGTGTGCCTCCTCCCAGAGACAGATGGAAGATCATACCTTTCCCAGGAGCGCTGGCTGGACAAACCATGACAAGTCCTCTGGGAAGCTAGGGCAGATCCCAAGGAAGCAGGCACAGTGAGTGAGTGGGGATGTCAGCAGAGACTGCCAGACACACTAACCGAGCGGATCTAGCAAATGCCTTAAGGCTACAGCCCTGCAAAGACACATGTCCTAGGGAGCTGCTTTTCTTAGTGGCTGCAAGAGCACGCTGAGCTTAGACCCCCCTGCACGCTGTGGATGAACGGGTGCCCAAATTCTTAGAACACCCAGGGTCAGACACCGGTTCCCACGTGCTCCTGGGGAACAAGTGACAAGTGTGGCTGGTCCAACAAGTGACAGCCACAAGTGTCAGCCAAGCCAGAACCAAATGTACTCCAACTCTAACCTTTCATTTCTCTCCCCTGCCTACTCCCAGATCATCAGCATGGGGTGCTGCTCAGTTACCACAGCTTGCTGTGAGCCTGTTGCTTCAGTGTCGAACACAGTGAGGCATGCTCTGCACTCAGCCATCCCAAACTACAACCTACCACTGCTGCACGAAGGTCCCCGTGGCCCTACCCCACCAAGGCTAACACCCCAGCACGAGGGTCATTGTTCCTGACACATTTTGGACGGGCTCTTTGAGTCTCCTCAAGTTTCCATAGTGTTTATGGTCCGACTGTGGTGAAGTTCTTTCCTATGTTAGATCCTCTAAAAAGGACTGAATATAAAATTTTGCTTTTTTGACTGCTGAGCATCCCACAGCCTGGCTCTGGAAAGGCCACATGCCAGCTGTCTGGAGGTTAACAGAAGGATTCCCCCCTCTGGGCTTCGCATTCCTGTTGACATGGCAGTCCCTGGGCTGTTTTAGACAGGCATTGCCAGATCCGATTTGCCAAACAGAGGCAGCACACGCAACGCTGTTCAAATGTCAGGACTCGTAGCTCTCCCCCTCCAGAGGAGCTCCCAGCCCAGAGCTATGCTGGACAAGGAGGGGTGGAGACATCAAAACATTGCTACAGCACGCAGGACACCAAATCCATTTCCAAACCCACCGTCCCAGTGCCCTTAACAAGCAAACACAAGTTTTGCGACAAAAGAGGAGATCCAACAGCCCTTTGGCCCTGCCAACCCAGCCCTCTCCCCCTCGCTCCCAGGCACCACGAGTTCACACACCATCAACGGGACACTCACCTTGAGGATCTTCACGACGACCCTCTCGTTGTTGGTGATGTTGATGGCCTCAAAGACCTCGCTGTACTTCCCTCGGCCGAGCTTTCGGACCAGCTGGTAGTCGTCCTGATTGCTGCGGGCACCAAGAGGAGAGGGGCGGTGGGGGCGTGTGGGTATAACCAACAGGGCAGGGGCCGAGGGAAGGGGGGTACTCCTCTCCCAGCCTCCCCCTCCGCCGCCCGCAGCCCCCCGGGGACCGCCCAGCGCGGGAGCGGGGGGTCAGGGAACCCTCCCCGCGGGCCGAGGCCCTTCCCCAGGAGGGCGCGGGGGGCCGGAGGAGGGAGGGCGGATCCCCGCGCGGCGCTTTACCCCCAGCTCGGGACGTGCGACTCGTAGTCCCAGTACTCGCGGCTCCTCAGGCTGTTCACCTCCGCGTACACCCGCGCCCGGCTGCCGGCGGCCGGGCCGGGCATGGCGGCGCCGGGCGGCGGCTGCAGGAGGAGGAGGAGGAGGGCGCGGGGCCGGCGCGGGAGGCCGGCGAGG